CTCTCACTGTGTCTCTCTCTGTCAAATAAATAAAATCTTTAAAAACAAAAACAAGATAAGCTGAATGAGCCAAGTGTTTACTTAGAGTCCATTTCAGCTCCAGTGGAAGAATGTCTTACCTTTACGAATATCATCAAGGGTGATCTGGTTGGCAAGGTTGTTCTGTTTAAGGTAGGACAAGAAGAGGAAACTGTAATATGAGCAAAAACAAAAGGGTATAGCAATGACCTTGTACAAATTGTCAGGTCATCCGTTGTGGGGTGTGTGAGGCTTTGTCTGTGGGAGCAAGGGTTGGGCTGCAGTGGGCTCCCCGCGTTCTCCTGTGCCCTTGCTGGAGCACTTGGTGTGTCGTCCTTCCCTGGGCAGGCGTGGATGTGCTGCTCACCCTATGTGGGGTGCATCCCCCTGTTGGCCTTTGTAATCCCCTCGGCAGCACAGCAGGCCTTTGAAGTGCAGGAGCCCAGAGGAGCATCCAAGACTGTGGATTCTGGAGTAGACGGCCTGGGGCCAGGTCCTTGGTCTACCGCTCGCCAGTTTCACGACTGTGCACAACTTAATTGCTTTCTGCACCTCGAGCTTCCTTCATCTGTATAATGGGTGTAATAATAGTGCCTACTTCACAGGGGTAAACGATTGTAAAGAAAGAAGAACCGTCAAGAGGTGGAGTTGAGATGACCTGATTCTGGTCATCTGGTGCCGTTGTTTTCAGTATAGGAGGCGAGCCTCCGGGATACCCACAGTCACGTTTCCTCTCTCCTTCCTACCCACGTGGGAAGAATTTCTCATTTCTTGAATTGAATGCCAGGGGAAAAGTTTGATAGCGTGTTTTTACTAGAAATACAAATAATTATCGTGAAAATGACTGTTGCCACCTAAGAAATGGAGTTAGCTAAACTAAAAGGGACCTTTTTTTTATATGAAGCCCCCCCCCCCCAAATAAAGCCCAAGTATTTTTTGTAGAGTTACTGCACCTAAGATTAGTTATGGTACGTGACAGTCTCATCTTATAGGTGAAAATATTAAAAACATAATCAGCTCTCTGTTAAAAACACAACCCAGCACGATTTCATTGAAATGATTCCACTCTGCTGCTTTAATCTTGAATTTGGCTGGGTTGCATGTGAGTTGATTTTTTTTCCGTTTGAGATGAGCTCAATAAGGTGGGACCCCAGATGTGAGTCCACCAGGAGGAAAAACTGTTTGTGAATTTCACGTCGGTCTAAAAATCCAATTTGACTTACACCGTGGGCAGTGTGTGGTGCTGGCTGAGTCTGCATCATTATTCTGAAGTCTGTGCTGCTGTCCTGTGACTAATACGTTCCAGCTGTCTGGGTCACTACTTTGGAGTACTATTTATTTGCGGTAGTGATGCTGCAAATAGGAAAAGCTTTCCCTTTTGTTGGTTGAGAGCTCTGCTGGTAATTAGCAAAACAAGCATGCCTCTTATTTGGGAGAGACTGGGAAGGCGGCTGAAGGGTACATTGTACACAACCACAGTGGAAAACAATTTGGCATTACTTAGAAGAGCTGAACACGCACACTCCGCACTCCCGAGCTTAGTCCTCCTCTCTTAAGTGTATACCCTGGAAAAACGTGGTATGTGCCCCAGGGATAGGCACTGGAATGTAAATAGTGCTGTTCATAATAGCAAAAACTGACAAAACCCCAGGTGATCCTCGGCGGAATGGAGCGGTGAGCTGTTGGTCTGTTCACACAGAGAGAACTGCATAGATAGTGGTGATCATCAGCCACGGCCATGTGAGTTGCCGGGGTGAATCTCAGAATCCGCATCAGAAGAGGCAAGTCTTAATACGTACACTCTGGTTTCACTTTACATTGGTTTTAAAACCTGGCAAAATGCAACCGCATACTGAGAATATGTATGTGATGAAAACATAAGGACGAGCGGAGGAATTAAATCAGAATTGGGGCTAGTGGTTAATTGTGCAGGGAAGTGGATGGAGGGAGTCAGGAAGGGGCACACACGTCTTCCATAAAACCCCCCAGACCCAGCCGCTGGGGCATCAGGTGCATGGGCTTTGTTTCCATTATTCTCTAGTCTGACATACGGTCGCCGAATAACATGGTACCCCAAATGTAGCAGCTTAAAACACTGACAAACATTGGTTATCTCACAAGGTCTGTGTGTGGGCAAGACGTCGGGAGCAGCTTGGCTGGGCTGGGTGGTTCTGGTTCGGGGGTCTCCCATCTGGTTGTGGCTCAGGTAGCCGCGGCAGCAGCCGTCCTCAGAAGGCTCGGTGGGCTCGAGGTGCAGCTCCCGGGCTCCCCAGGGCTGGTGTGCCAGGGGCCCTCCCAGGACAGAGTGAGGGGGCTGCCCTGGACCCCAGCCGTTCAGATCTGACTCCCGTTTCCCCCAGCTGGATGGAGAGACGTGCGCGTTCAGTGGGCAGTAGGAAGAGGGGCAGGAAGCTCCCCGTCTGCTCAGTGTGGGTGGGTGGGGGGCGCACCAGAGCTTGAGTGTGGGACGCAGGATCATTGGCGCCTTCTCCAAGGCTGGTTCCTGTGCTTGTGCACTTCTTGATCTACTTCACGATTAAGTTTTTATTTTTTTTAATTTTTTTTAAAGATTTTATTTATTTATTTGAGGGAGAGAGAATGAGAGATAGAGAGCACGAGAGGGAAGAGGGTCAGAGGGAGAAGCAGACTCCCTGCTGAGCAGGGAGCCCGATGCGGGACTCGATCCCAGGACTCCAGGATCATGACCTGAGCCGAAGGCAGTCGCTTAACCAACTGAGCCACCCAGGCGCCCCACGATTAAGTTTTTATAGACAAGCCGAACTGGGAAGCTGATTTTGCGTTAGTAATGGTGCAGGCACTCATCGACATGACAAGGATGTGGGTGCCGCACGTGTTTGCAGTGTGGGGCTGGAGTAGAGTCCGTGGTGGGGGCTGACTGTTGGGGGGAGGGGGCCCTCGCTGCTGACAGCACCTGCAGGGGGTGGGGGTGGGCAGGGCAGAGAGGGACCCGGGGAGTACAGACCCCAGGACGTGTGGTGTAGACGGGACCACGTGTGCCTAGATGTCCGTCTACCTGTGTCCCTAGATCGGGTGGAAATCTGGGACTCGTGATTTTTGAGGAGAGTTCTCTGGGCTAAGGGCCATCGGTAGTGTCCTGGGCTCACCGTGATATTGAAGTCTTTACCAGCCTCAACTGTTCTCCCGACACCCCCTTTAATGGGAAAGGAGAGCCCACCCCTCACTCCCTTCCCCTACAAGTGAGGGTGTAGCTGGAAATGAACTGGACCAGTAAGGATAGGAGTTTGAGCTTAATTCATGCTGTGATTACATTGTGCTCGAAATGCATGTTTGTTTTATTAGCAAGTTTTCAACTGCTGTTCCATGCTTATCCTCACCAAAATCTCTGAGTAAAACTGATGTTTCCAAAGGAGCGTCATGTGTTTTCCCTTGGATTTGGGTAGCTTTTGGCCTAACTTCCTGGTGAGTGCTCCTGGGGTCCAGGTGCCCCGGCGTGTGAGGCATCGAGACCCATCCTATCTCCTTGCGGGTTGCAGCATCCTTGGGAACAGGTGCTCCCCAGTCCCCAGGTGAGGAAGCAGCTTGAGGCAGTTCTCTCGGTTTTTCATCGAGCTGGCGGGTGGAGGAGACGGGACTGAAAGCCAGGCACAGGGGCCCTGACTCACTTTCTTCAAGCTTTCGTATGTGGCGCCTTCACACGTTGGACATCAATACCTGTAAACCTCTTTGTGCAGGATTGTGGTGACCAGTGCATGCAGGACCCCTTTAAGCCATAAGGGGACACCACGTGTTCCTCAGTGGTTCTGATGCTGCCTCTGTCCTCAGTGGTAGAGCCGTGCGTGTCATTATACGGGACTTGGCTGGCTACAAAAATGAGAGGAAATATCCTCAACAGCAAGTGATAATTGCCTTTTGTTGCGGCCAAGATAAAAGGCACCTCTGGTGATGCTTGTTTTGCTTCCCTTGGCCAACAGTGTGCTCTTTTGAGAAAAAAGGGAGAAAAAAATATACGTATGATGTCACAATTATATTAAAGATTATTGTGTTTAAAAGGGAAGTCTAATTACTAGTAATAGTTACAGAATTGGTAATCATAATTAGAGTATTGATGGTAGTATTAAGAATGATTATTATTTTTTTTAAGTAATTTATTTCAGGGAGAGAGAGAGCACAGGCAGGGGGAATGGGGAGGGGCAGAGGCAGAGGGAGAAGCAGACTCCCCGCTGAGCAGAGAGCCCCCGATGTGGGGCTCGATCCCAGGACCCTGAGATCATGACCTGAGCCGAAGGCAGACGCTTCAGTGACTAAACCATCCAGGTGTCCCAAGAATGATTATTCTTCAGGGAACCAACTGCCGTGCACCCCCTCCCCGCAGATGGCATGTGAATGTGTTCGGCCTCTTGGCCTTAAGGTTGCTTTTCAGCAGAGCATCATATGGGGTGGGGGGGCCACCTATATGGTGAGACATGCCTTGAGCTTGGGGTCAGAAGATCTAAGTAGAGGTTTCATCCCCGGTGTTTTCTAGTTGAACATCCTTGTCGTACTGTCATGCTGTCGTTGGGCACGTGGTGGGTCTGCCTGGGAGGCCCAGGAGGCCCAGCAGTCTGGCATGGTTCCGAGGGTTCACGGGGGCCTCACGTGGGGTCTCAGAAATCCACAGTCACACTCCGGCCCTGGAAGCTCCCCTTCTCTTCTGAGTGGCGGTTTGGGCGACATAATGTGTCACTGCCTTGAAATTGATGTGAGTTAAGAGATACTTAATCAGGAATTTCTTTGTCCCAGAACTTTCTAGAGTGGCCAAGGCTAACGGTTGTTCCCCACATTCAGGATGGGATGGATCAGTTTTTTCTCTCCTCACTTTTCTCCTTGCTTAAAAGCAATTTAGACAGAGCACCTTTTTAATCTAGAGGTTTGTCATAAATGAAGAACATTTGCTCAACTGAAATAGCTTTAATTTAATAAAAATCCTTGGTGGTAACATGTTGTTTTGCTTCTGCTTGCAGGGTGAGGGAGCATGAACGGCCTTGAATGCGCCCCTGGGCATATTTAGCCATTCGCTTTTCATTAGGAGAAAGAAGACGGCCATCCGCTTGAGAGGTGTGTAAGGATTTCTCTGCAACTTTTTATCCTAAAATTTTCAGACATATGGAAGAGTTAGAAGAATGTGCAGTGAGTTCCTATGTATCCACCGCCTACATTTAACACTTGTTAGCATTTTGCCATATTGTGTGTGTGTGTCTGTGCGTGTGTGTGTGTGTGTGTGTGTGTGTGTTTGAGGGCTTGTACATTTTCCTGCTGAAGCATGGTAAAGTAAAAGTAAGTTGTAGGCATCATGACATTTTATCCTAAATTCTTTCGGATGTAGCTTCTAAAAATAAGGATATTTTCCCTTGAGAGGCATTTTAGAACATTCATAAACTATGCAACGTAGAATCATTTAATTAAACACGGTTATAATTTCCTATTGAAAGGTGTAATTTTGGATTTATGATCCTTTCATAGCCGAAGTAAATGAAGTCAGGTTTTCAAAAATCTTTAAGCAGTGATTTATTTAAAGGACAGACAGGCAGTGTGAACCTGTTTGGTGTGAGAACAGTCTGCACATAAAGGATTGGGATTTGCACTTGCCCATGTGCCCTGCAAGAGAGGATGGCCGTGTTTTCCTTGTTCCGCATGCTCTGCCTGTCTGCGCTCCTGAGGCTGGTGTCCCTGCGGCTTTCACAAGTAGACTAGTTGCTGTTGTTGAATGGGATCGAAGATCTTCGCGGAGTTTTGAGCCTGAACTCCCAAGAGAATGTGCCAGGGATATGCAGTCATGTCAAGTTGAGGTTACTGTGTTGAAACCAATGTTCAAGACATTCACAGTGATTCTCAGCACCATGATTTGACTACTCGAATTGAAACTCCCATCAAATCCTGCAGGTGTGTTCTGCTGTGATTAGAGGTGTAGATGGTGACGCGTCACGACCACACAGTCACTTGCTACCACTCGGTGGTTCTGCGTAGCTGTGTGCTGTCCCAAGGGCTGCCCTCTGCTGCATGTTGATGGGCTCTCTCTCACTGGGCCCTGGGAGTCCAAGCATTTCTTCATAGATGTTTATGAGCTCCACTTGCCTGTTTAGAGCATGATTTTAGACGAAGTTTGTTTATAAGTGAGCCTTATAGGGCAGTGGAGGCTTCTTAAGATTCTTGTGTTTTATTTAGAACACAAAGTTAGCGAGAGCCGTGAAGTTTCTTGGAAAGACCCCAGCATTCCGAAGGAGCTGTGACTGGAGTTGTAGGGCTCTCAGAATGATCTAGTTTGGTTTTTTTGCTTTTTGGCCTCTGGTTAGGCTTTGAAAAGATGATGAAGAGGAGGAAAAAAATGGGACTCCACTTGAGGCAAAAAGGCTTTGACAGATTGAGAAGAGAAAGGCGTCTGGGGCCCCGTGTGGGGGCTTCAGTTCGCTCTCTGCCCCTGGGGTAATGTTTTTTTCTCTCTGTCTGTTGAACTAGGGTATGCACACAGACAGTGCAGTCTTGTTACATATACAGGTCAGTATAATTTCAGAAACCGAGCACTCCCCTGTGACCAGCACCCGGATCAAGAAGCAGAACATTTCCACCACAGCCTCACCTCGCTCCATGGGTAGCCACGCTCTTGACTTCTAAGAGCATAATTTCATATTGTCTGTTGTTCTTTGTGTGTGTGTGTGTGTGTGTGAGAGAGAGAGAGAGAGAGAGAGAGAGAGAGAGTGTGCGTGTCGTATATAATGCAGATCGTACTGTTTTGTGTCTGGCTTTTCTCATTCAACAGTGTATTAGCTTATCCCATATTGTTGCAGATAGTTACAGATTGTTCATTTTCATTGCTATGGAGTGTCACATTGTGTGAGAATAAACCAGTCTCTTCATTCTATTAGATGCAGGTAGTTTCTGCGGGGCTGGGGGGGGGGTTGCCCTGGCAGAAATGAGGATTACGCGGGGTTTTATCCCCATGGCTACCGTGGAGGCCGTCCTGGGTGTCCAGCTTCTGCTGTCCATGAAAGAGGAATCCAGGGGCAGACAGAAGGTGGAGGCACGGCTGGGAGAGCCTGTGTGGTTTCTCAGTCCTGCAGTGATTCCTGCTGCTCTTCCTGGGGCTCAGCACGTCCCTTTCCACCTTGGTCCCTGCTGACAACACGTTTTCTCCCCCCTCTCCTCTGCCACTTCCCCCTCAGAGGGGACAGATCAGACACCAGGCCGCTGGTGAATAAAGTTTATTAGGTGCTGATATTAGATGTTCGATGGGGAAAGTCATGGGCTTGCTCTGGAGCACCTGTGCTGTGGGTATGGACCCACAGGTGCGGGTGTGGGCCACACCCCTGGAAGCCAGCTGTGCCGCAGAGTTGAGCGTGTAGATGCAGAGGCTTGTGTGGGCCGGGCCTATAACAGGACAGGAACTGGGCGGGGGGGGGGGGGGGAGGTGTGAGGGGGGGGGAGTGGAGGTGGGGGGGGGGCGGGGGGGGGTGGGGGGTTTGCTCAGTAAGGGGGGATGGGCACTGCGAAGTACAAGCACATGTGCATTGCCCAGTTTTTGACCCAGTAAAATGTGTCTGGCTGAATTCGGCAAGCTCACCGATTTCGAACCTTTAGGGAATAGAATGTTCATTGCGTGGAAGTGGTTCCTGTGGGATTTGGGTGTGGTTATGGCTAAATTTGGTTTCTGTAAGCAAAGTTTTATTCAAACACGGTCATGTTCATTTGTTTATGGTTCGTCTGTGACTGCTTTTGTGCTGCAACAGCAGAATCGAACGGTTGTGAAAGAGACCAGGGTCTGTAGCTCCGGCAGTGATCTGTGGCCTGCAAGACCTAGCATGTTTGCCGTCGGCGCTTTACTTCATAAAAGCAAGGGCACGGTGGTGATAACCTCTGTAGTTTTGAAATAGTCTGAGCCCATTAATTTTAATGTGAATGCCTTTATTTATCCCTTTATTTATCCAACAAATACTGACCGAGAAGCTACTGTGTGTCAGGGGTAATGAGCTGGCAGTAGTCGCATAGGCTCCTGCCCTTGTGGAACTTACCAGAGGCCCCTGTGAGCTGGAAGCTCCACCCCGGGACTGTGCTTTCTATGCATCAGAACAGAAGCATGAAATGGAAACGGAATGACCACATCTTCAGTTTTAAATGAGTGTATGTTGGTTATATTTCTTAATTTTATAAATTTGATAAGCACTTTCCATAACATAATGGTTACTTCAGTTGTATGGCAAATGTATATGATCTATTTAGATATGGCCGTGTCTCTAAGTGTGTCTCAAAGTCCTGCTTGTTTCCATGTGGTGACACAGCATGTAAAGCCATGTAAGGTCATGTATCTGGATTGGGCCGTGACCTTTGACGTGCTCATCAAAGCACAAGCAGACCACCCATCTCAGGCTACTTGAATAATAAATCATAAAACTCAACAGAAAGAACAGCATACGAGGTAGTAAAGTTTGGAATGTGGTATAACAAATTCATCTGTGTCCGTTGGCATGCTTATCTGTTTGCTCTCGTGAGGTTGTAAAAGTTGGTTTTTTCTTAATGGGAGGCCATAGAGGGCATCATCATGAACGGAGACAGGTGAAACTTTTAGTATTGTTTTAACCCCGTTAGCATTTTCATGTGTGCTCGTAGATGTGTTATGGGTGAGAGTCACTGCCCCGTCGTCACCCCAGACTGTCCCCCGACAGACAGAAAGGAAATGCCCTTGACTCCTCTCCACAAACCCTCGTCAGCCATGGCGGCTGCATTGCCTCAGTCCGGCCTCGAGACATCCTTTAGGAAAGTGAAGTGAGACCGAGCATTTATCTGGATGTTGTAGTTACAGTTGGTTAGCTGCGTGTAATAATGTAAGGATGGGAAAAGGCAAGGAGTCCTGGCAGTGTGTACTCCTTGCCTTAGGGGCCATCTGACCTCGGGCGGGTTGCTCCTTGTCACCTTCTGGGTCGGCGATCTGGTGAGGGCACTTTCCCCCGAAATGAGAGCCTCCCAGCAGGGGCCCTCTGCGGGAGCCACGGAGACGGACGCCAGCTGGTGGGGCATAGTTTCACGACTGGCGGCCAGACCCCACACTGGTTTGTCTTGTTGCCAAGATTCATAAAGTGAAGGTGTAGCTCCTTTTTATGAGGAAGAAATGGTACGTATCCTTTCTCACTTTCCGCTTTTGTGTTTAAAATGTTTTTACACATTCAGTCCTGGTCTTCGTTTTAGTCATTTTTTATAGTGGTGCAGAATTCGGGATAAATGAACAGGGAGAACTGAGAAGATCGACCGTTGTTTTCCTCACGAAACTGGGAGCTGTGGGCTTCGCTGCTTTGGCTAAAAAGAAAGGGTTCTGAAACAAATTTGAGGAGAAGAGCACCTGATCTGTGGCATTAGAAAACCTGGATCTTCTAACCTTCTAAGAGGGAGCTCTTTCACCCCGAACTCCAGCCTCAGGGGCATTTAATTTGTCAAGGCCAGCTCATTAAGGTTGACTTCCTCGGGCTCTGGTTTTGCGTCTGGAGAGGGGTCAGTGCTAATGTGCACACGAGGACCACGTGGTAGAGTGAGTTGTGGTTTAGAAAGAGTATCGGGATGACTCTCTTGGTTTCAAGCCACAGAAAACCCAATCAGAGTGTCTGTCAGTGAAAGAAGCCTTGTTGACGCCTCAGGTAGCTAGCCGACAGCCGGCGGCGGATCTCACTTCCGGAAGGGCTCGTCAGGGGAGCCACATGATGTCATAAGGTCCTCGATGGCTGCCTTCTTGGGCTGCAGACGGGGGCCCCGCAGCAGCTTCAGGTCCACACTCTTCCAGGGATCCTCTGGGACCGGGCCAAGGGCCTGTCCTGACAGGGTCACGCACTTCGTGCCGAGAACCCGGGGTCCGCGTGTTGGTTCAGCTGAGGATGAAGGCCTGAGTCAGGGCAGTGCGGGATGCTTCCCTCCAGAAATCGGCCTGGTTTCCCACAGGGTCGGTGGGTGCTGGCATAGTAATAACACTAATAGTAATTAATGCATCTCTTTATGTTTGCAAATTATTTTTTTTAAAGATTTTATTTATTTATTTGACAGAGACACAGCGAGAGCAGGAACACAAGCAGGGGGAGTGG